AAGTGCTCAAGAGAGGAAAATACACAGATAGAATAATGGAAGATAATTTAATTTTTATCACTCAATCCATAGAAATAGCAATGAAGAACCAAACTCCTTTATGGTTAGTTTATTTGGACATCAAGGGAGCATATGATAATGTGAGCCAGGAGAAACTCTGGGGTCAGCTGAAGGAGTATAATTTAGATGCAGATTTGGTTAGGTTTCTTCAGTAGGTGTACACAGACAATAAGGTAGTTATCACATGGGAAACAGAAACTACATAACCAGTAGCAATAAAAAAAGGGCTCAGACAGGGCTGTCCACTGACACCCCTACACTGCATGACGTATCTGTGTGAAATGAAAACGAAATTAGAGCAAAGCAACTCAGGTTTTGACGTGAGTTATATGGAGGGAGAGAGAAATGTAATACAGGTAATACATAAACTGATGGATGCGGACGACATAGTACTCATGGCAGATAACCAGGATACATTACAGGAACTATCAGGAATATCTGGAGAGGAAGGGGTACCTTGGGCATGAGTTTTAGTAGCGACAAGTCTGGAGGAATGGTGTTTAAGGACGAAAAGAGGTAACCCCTGAAAGACATTGTAATAGAAAACGTTGGAAGATACAAATATCTGGGACTCTGAGGGAAGGAAATATCTAGAGAAACATGAGGAGAATATAATTAGAAAAGGGAAAACAAATTCATCGATTATGAAGCTCAATGCAATATGGAACTATAATATATATAAGGTGGTCGGAACTATATGGAAAGGAGTGATATGGTACCAGGACTATCTTTTGGTAATGAGGCTGTGCATAAAATCAGAGGTTCAATCAGGGTAAGATATTCGACAAAGAAGCATAGGCAGATTGGCACTGGGAGCACATGGAAAGGCACCAAATGAGTGAGTACAGGGGAACATGGGATGATCGTCTTTTGAGGGCAAGGAGGCAATTAGTAAGGTGAAATTTGAACAAAGGTTAAGCGAAATAAATGACACGCGGTGGGCACGGAAGATATTAAAACATTTATACATGAAAAGTTTAAAACACATAGTGGACAAACCGAACCCGAAAGCTTGCATTTAAATACCTACACTCTTTTGATGACGCTGAGCAGACTACTTCAGTGAAAATGCAAGTGAAAGAGGCAGGAAGCAAAATGTGGGAGAGAAAGAATTCAGGATAATTTAGCTGTAACAACGTGCAGATCATAAAAACGACATTAGAAAGGAAAATGTCTATGACAATTCTTTGGCAAGTTCTTTACTGTTTGAGGCGAGAACGGGAGTTTTGAGGACATGGACGCATAGGGCTAAATTTCATGAGACAGACACATTATGGGCCGCATGTCATAACGAGAGCGAGACACTAGAGCGTTTGGTTTTGATGTGCACGGGCTTCGCCCTGCTCTTCCTGAAAGGGGCAACGGATTTGGCTGGGGCCCTGCGTTTCGGTGGCGGAGATGCAAGGACGGAAGAGAAAAAGATTACCGTCACAAAGAGGCGATTAGAAGATTGGCGGAAATTATACAGGAAGAATTAAATGATGGAAAACTATCTAGCACAGCTAAGGACAGGCGGGACTGAGTAAAGTAGAGACTCCCTTCCGCCTGGCTCCGGCCCAAAGTCTCAACCATGTCCAGCAGTTAATTCGGTAGTGGGGTAACATCGACAAGGTTTGACTAGAGGAAAACTGGCGACTCCCTCGCCAGGGGGATGAGGCGGGGGCGACGTTTTGTTTTTTTGCCCGATCCCTTAAAGGTCATCCTTGTTATATCCCACACTGCCTGGTGATAGTTAGGGGGAGAAAATTGGCTTAGAAGTGGAGATATCATGTTTGTCTTTTTAGACTTAGGCTAGGTGGCGCAAGCTACCGCCCGTCACAAAGGGTACAGTCATTAGAATCCATCCATTCATCCATCCAGCCACGAGGTGACGTCACAAGACTGCTGCGCTACGCGGTATAACCGATCAACCGCAGCTCCACCGCGACCTGACGTCAAGGAGTGTGTTGTGCGCCAGTGTTTCTTGGCTATAAGCAGCTGGTCACTTCTTTAAAATCAGTTTTAGTTGAGTACGTGGCTTCACTTTGACGTAAAATGTCGGCTATGATCATATTTTTGCCACTAAAGCGACACCGGTCATTTATTTCGGTTTCATTTTTGACGGAGTCACCCTTTCAATAAATGTTCCTTCTCAAGAGCGCAGCTCTTGAGAAGGAAGAGGGGAGGGTACGGCCTCCCCCTCCGTACACTCCCCTTCTACTCTCCTCTGCCTGAATTTAGCGGTGAAATTTTCCCATATGGCAACGCGTGGTTACGCCTGCTTGCATCATTCCCATAATGCAACGCCCGCGGTTACGCCGACGCCGACGGCGACGCGCCTCAAGCCGGAAACGAGCGCCTTAAAGCTCTGCTCTAAAAAAAAAAGAAAAAAAAAAGAATAACGTTTACAAATCTTTGTAATACGAAACTAGAGCGCAGCTCTTGAGGAGGAGGAGGGGAGAATACGGAGGGTATGCCCCTCCTCATCCTCCTCCTCTCTTCATCCTCTTCCCTCCTCTCCTCTTCCCGATGAATTTGTTCATGGGTGACGTGACACGAAGTCATGTGACTTCATTTTCTCTGCTGAATTAAGCGGGTAAACTTAATTGGTGTTGTCTCGTGACGTCACTTTCCCGCTAAATTTAGCGGGCTAAATAATTTTCGCGCTAAAGTTAGCGGGAAAATTCTCAACACCAATTCAGTTTCCCCGTTAAATCTAGCGGAGAAACTGAATTTGTTCATGGCTGACGTGGCACGAAGTCCCATGTGACGTCACTTTCCTTGCTAAATTTTGCGGGGAAACTGAATTGGTGTTAAGGATTTTCCCGCTAAATTTAGCGGGTGAAAATCCTTAATACCAATTCAGTTCCACCGCTAAATTTAGCGGGGAAAATGACGTCACATGACTTCGTGTCATGTCACCTGTGAAAAAATTAAGTTTTTCCGCTAGATTTAGGGGGGAAATTGACATCACGTGACGTCAACATTAATTCAATTTCCCGCTAAATTTAGCAGGGCGGTAATGCCGACGGCGACGCCGCTAAACGCGGAAACAGGCGCCTAAGAGCTGCGTTCTAAAAACTGGCTAGGTGGCGCAAGCCGCCACCAGATTAAATGAATTAAATGATGGACGATCCATCAATCGTCCATCATTTTGTTGTCATGACTCATGAGCCGTCTGGCGCGGCGCAGGCGAGTATCCCGAAGATTCCCGTGACACCCTGCACAAAAGCGTGTTTCATCACGCCTCACTTTTTTTTCCCCGATAAATAAAACATTGTTTCACGCACTCACTCTAACAGCAAGATGGCGGATTGACGACACTCGGAAATATCATATATCAAAGAGTAACGTCATTCATCGTTGAATTATTTTTCCTCCTCGCTGGCGCCATCGCTAAGAAATGGCGGCACGCAGCCAAACCCCATGAGAGCGAGGCCGTGGTGCTCAATTTTCGGCGTTACCTACCAACGCGGTGCACAGATCGGTGGAAACAAGTGAGCTGCGCCATAATTCGGCTGAAACTCGTATCCTTAATGATCGAGCACAAGACCCAGCCAAATGCTTATGAAGCAGCTGCGCCCGATCTCCGCCCCGCGCTGGCCTTTTGTGGGTGACGCTAAATATTTTGCGCTAAGGCCTGGCTCTCTATAGGAGGCACATGAGCGGCATTAGCCTCGGGCTTGCCTGGCAAGCCCGTAGCTAGTGCCGCTCATGAGATGTTACGGTGCACCGCGTTTACTGTTTTACCGACTGGGGTCCAGAAAGAAAGTTAGGGATACTTTTGGATAGCGGGTAGACGCCAAGCTGTTTTTGTCGTCACTGATTTACCACATTCGACAAAGGCAGCCAGCCTTTGCATCTATCCCACTAGTCTCTCCAACCAAAGCTCGGTGCTCCGACGTCACGGCGCGGTCTCACCTCTTCTTCACCCTCAGTCCTCACTCCGTTTATGGTATAACACACTTGGGACTTTTTATGACCATGCGCAGAAACCTCCATATTTTACAACGAATGAACACACTGGCGCCACCGATCGGGTGGCCGTAGAACACTTGACTTAATTGGACCTCACAAATACCGCCAAACCTTCGCCCTAGTCAAATGCGGTTCCAGGGTCACCGCATAGGAGGCGCCAGCCTATTTTCTCGTCGTGAGAGGTTTTAAAGGGATACTTCAACGAAATTTGAAATATTCCCGTCGTGTTTAAAAATAGGTTGAATAAGATCCACAATATCCGTAAATGAAAATCACACGTTTGTATTTTGATCCTGGTGGCTGTATTTTTCGTTATAAACTGCCCACTCTGGCAAGCGCTCGGAGAAGGCCCAGCTTAGAGCACGTGACATCCAACGCAATCGTGACGTAGGTCGTCTCAAGACGAGCAAAGCTACGGCGAGGCTGACGTCGAGAGAATGGCCTAGTCGTTCCAGCCACCGAAGCGGCTGCTTTTGTACGAATTTTGAGTGACGGGTTAATCTTCTATAATCTTCTAGGAGGACAATGGCGACTTCTCCGACACACAAAAGGGCTTCTCGGGAAGAGGGGAGTTCCTCCTTCCCCCCATCTCTTGTCGTGGCCGAAGACGAGACAACCTCCGTCACTAGCTGTCAAGGTTCCTAGACGAGCATTACAAACGAGGCGTTAGCGACATCCACCAGGTGCTCTTTGCTAATCGTTTAATTCGTTTTAAAATTCCTTTTCGAGACATTTTTAACAAGATATTGGTATGTTCCATGTGATACTTCTCTTTTGAACACATATAGACCAAAAAATGAGCGCCGAAATTTCGTTGTAGTATCCCTTTAAGACGCACGGCCCGAAGAAAACGCAGTTAATAATACCCTCCGGCGAAACTCGTTGAATTGAGACATGCGATGAACGAATTCACATGAAACCTTTAGATGATATTTTCCAATCTATATCACTACTGAATATCCGTCCCACTTTGTTTCTTTCAGCATCATCATCAAGGGTCTGGGCGTCCTGCGACTGGTGTATAAAAGTACCATGGCAAATGCAGTTGTCAGCCAGGTTCTGTTTCGCTTAGGAATCCCGGCTGTTTTGCTTGTTTGTGAGTATTTATTACACTTTCCACGCCGATGTGTCAATAAAAAAAATAAAAAAAAGGGCCAGTTTGACACTGACGTTTTCACGCCACTGAATTTTTCGAGTTTTTCAGGACTAAGGAACCGCGTTTAAATATGCCCAGATATGGAAGACCCGCGATTCTCAAAACGCCATCTAGTTAAAATTAGGCAGTCATTTATACTGATGATTACCTTCCCATTAGGAATGCTCGGGCGGCATACGATTCCATGAGCGTCCACAGAACATTTTGCAAAATGAAACAGCCCTATTTTCTTTTTTTTTGTCAAATTTGTTTCACAAAAAAAAAAAAAAAAGTAAGGTTCCGTGTTGCCGGAGTTTTTTTTTTTTTTTTTTTTTTTTGTCGAATTCGGAGAATGTTTTTTGGAGTTTATTTTTGCTGAAAATTTGGATTCTATCGGAGTTCATTTCTGTTTGATTCTCAATTCTCTGAAATTCGGAGTTTAATTTCGCAGTGTTTCCTATAAAAATTATAAATGTATAAATAAATGAACAAATAATACCCGAATGCATGAGAGTCCGCAAAAAGTGCAAAGGGGGGGGGGGGGGGGCAGTTGCCCCCCCCCCCCCCCCCCTGGAATTTCGAGGAGGTGCAAGAAAGGGGGGGGGGGGTGTACCCACACCAGTTAAAGGCTACTCCGGCGGTTTTTTTAGCTACCACCAACTACGTTTTCTGAATACCATGGATTTACATCTTCCCAACATGCTATTCAGTATCTGGAAATTGAAAATGGCTATTAAGAAAATGGCAAATTTAAAAGGCAAAAAAAAAACAAAAAAAAAAAACTTGCCAAGGAAGCTTTGATTACGCCGCGAGACCGGCGAAACTTGCTTTCGACGCGTTGTGCCTTTTTTTGTGCGGCACTGCGCTTCCGTAAAATTTCTACGTGTTCTCAACGGCAAGCCTCGCGGCTTACAGAAGGTTTTAAAGAACTTCTTCGGACGAATGATGACGAACGGGTAGAAAATGTGTCTTCAGCACGCTGCCGCCAGCCTCCGCGACGCTCCAAAAACGCGATTTTTCGACATGCAAGATGGCCATCAAGTGGCTTCTCTCGCTGAGCGGGTAGCGCGATCCAGCAATTGTCATAGAGATCAGTGGTTTGTAGCCCCGAACTCAGGGCGTGGCCGTGAAAGCAGGAAGTGAGTAACGCGGGAACGGGCTGAAAATAGCCGACATCGCCAACATTCCCCGGGAGGGGAGGGGGAGGGGGGGGGGGGGGGGGGGGATAGGTGTGCATTTCTCTGGAAAACGTTCTGCGGGCGCCCATGTCCAAATTTAAACGTATGGTAGACAAAAAAAAAAAAAAAAAAAAAAACGCGCTTGTATCAGTTAATATTTTTTCAGCTTGATTTGGCGTTGGTGCCATTGCCATTGGCAATTCAAATTTGTCCCACGGCAAAAGTCGCACAAAAGAGTTGCTTCGATAAGCTTCTATACCTTAAAATCAATAAACTCTTGGAGGTAGTCGCTGGGAAACTCGTATTCATCTCATCCTATTCCCTCAACCTACCGCACGGCCGCGCGAGGTAGAGTGGTTAAGGATGACATAGAAAAGATTCAACTGCTCTTCGTCCCCATTTTGTGCAATCTCTATGGTCCATAGCTTTCACTGCTAGAAAAAACATAACCTCTCCCTCCTCCATAGCACAAATAGTATGGCCCATACTGGAAACCAAAACAGTGGTTTTGTCGTGGCCCGAAAGTACAATGACCTCCTGTCCTGAATGAACCTTGGCGAGATAAGTGGTAAGAACCCTTTTGACAACGGTCAGAGATTTGAGAAATAATTGAGGTGGCACTTTCTCAGGACCATTTACCCTGTGCGCTAATCAAATTGTAAAAAAAACGTTTTATTTTCTTTTTGCAGGGAGAGGTTGGGGGGGGGGGGGGGCATTGGCATGTAAGAATTGAGTTTATCGCATAAAACCGAATTGACAAAATTTTACCGGCGGGTGTTTTTTGCAGTTTTTCGGATTTATCCGAAAACACGGAACCCTAGGTTTAAGTTACGTTACCTGATGTATCTACCGTGAAGGGCCGGTAATTGGACTATTGCAGCATAGGACTGCATGCAGTAATATGTACAATATTCCGTTGCTAATAGTTTTTAGCTACTTACAAGAAATAAAGACGCTTACAACCCCCTGTAACGTCGAATTAGAGCGCAGCTCCTGAAGAGGAGGGGAAGGTACGGAGTGGAGGGTGTGGCCCTTCTCCTCATCCGTACCCTCTCCTGCTGGCCTCCCATTTAGCGGAAAATTTTCGCTAAATTTCCCGCTGTGTTTAGCGGAAAAAGTTTTCCGCTAAATTTAGCGGAGAAATTTTTCCGCTAAATTTAGCGGGGAATCTTTCTGCTAAATTTAGCGGGAAATTTTCCCACTGAATTTAGAGGGGAATTTTTCCCGCTAAATTTAGCGGGGAATTTTCCCGCTAAATTTAGCCGGGAGATTTTCCGCTAAATTTAGCTGGAAATTTTTTCATTAAAATCTAGCGGGGAACATTTTCCGCTAAATTTAGTGGGGAAATCTTTCCGCTAAATTTAGTGGAAAAATCTTTCCGCTAAATTTAGCGGGTACAATTTTCCGCTAAATTTGGCGGAGAATTTGTTTTGATAAATTTAGCGGGAAATTTTTTCTGCTAAGTCTGGCGGAAAAATTTTCCGCCAAAGTTAGCGGAAAAATTTCCGCAAACTTTACCCCGGCACTAGGCCCCCTGGGAGACATGGCGGAGACTTTGGGCCGGAGCCACGCAGGAGGGAGTACTCATTTTCCATTAAATTTAGCTGGAAATTTTTCCGTTAAAATCTAGCGGGGAACGTTTTCCGCTAAATTTAGTGGGGAAATTTTTCCGCGAAATTTAGTGGAAAACTTTTTCCACCAAATTTAGCGGGTACAATTTTCCGCTAAATTTAACGAAGAATGTTTTCGCTAAACTTAGCGGGGAATCATTTCTGCTAAATTTAGTGGGGAATTTTTTCCGCTAATTTTAACGGGGAAAGTTTCCCGCTAAATTTAGCGGGGAATTTTTCCGCTACACCTAGCGGGGAAATTTACCCATGATGCAACGTGCGCTGACGTCACGAGTGACATCACTGGTGACCATCGTGACGTCAAGTATGACGTCATCATGGGAAATGTCTCATACTGTACCGCGCGGCTACGCCGACGGCGACTCCGACGCTGCTCAAACCGGAAACGGGCGTCTTAGAGCTGCGCTCGAAAAAAAAAATGATGATTTGTCAGTCTACCATGTTAATTCGGTTTTAAAAAAATGCGGTTAGGGGGCGGTCGTAGGAAGTGCGGAGAGAGAAAAATGCCTTACAACCTCTCCCCCGTGCGTCGTCTGATCCGCCGAGTGGGCTGTAGCCTGTACCTAAAATGCGGCTGGCGGTCAAACTCGGTTTAAAATCGCGTCATTTTGGAAATTTCAAGCAAAGATGCGCGGGTTTTGATATGGAAGTAATCCTGTAATGTTATGCTCAATCAAAAGACTAACCGGGTACAATTTCGTTGTTACCTGCCGTGCAATTAAAAAAACAAAAAAGGGAAAACAGTGTTGAGTGGCCGGTCTGTCCTTTCCGGCGAAAAGTAAATCCGGTTGAGTCGCTTTTTTACTACACAAAGTTCGTACTAGTGTAGGCTTTTAGCGACAATGACTGTAAGTCTGGAATAAAAAGTCCGAGGACACCTAAGCACTCCTTATGAGTGTTGAACGCGAAAGCATGCCACCTCTGATGTATTCCTTCCGCCTCGCGTTGTCGAAGGGCCTCATCCTCTTGCCGCCTGAAAAGCTTTGAATCGCAATCCGCTAGCGTTTCAATCTTTAGAAAGGCTTTGTTCTGTCTCCTAGTGCGTTGCGCCGTGCCCGTTCCGCCCGCCGTGTATTCGGAGACTTGACAACGATGGTGGATTTCTCTGCCTGCCTCCTCGCTCGTTGTACTGCGTTATGGCGCTCTTTAAGTTCGTCTGCGGTGTACTTCCGTGGACGGGCAGGTTTCGCTACTGCTTATACTACGGCCGCCGACAATGTAGATGCTTGAGGCGCCGCCATGTTCGTTGGCGTCAGGAGGAGCAGATGCGGCCGAGCGCGCGCCACCGAGTTCGTTTTACCGGCGCGCTGTCGGCGCGTAAAGCTCTTTAATGTGTTTGTGTTTCCTTGCAATTAGCGTCAAATGCGTCTATGCACGTGGCCCGTGTCTCGAGTGGCCTTTGGAAACAAATGGCGGCGCAGCACTGAAATGAGCGGCCCTTGGAAGGGAATGGCGGCAGAGCACCCGCTCGTGGCACGTGTCTTGCCCGTTTCCACATCAGTGGTTGGCGGTACTTAAGACTGTGAATGTTATCAAGGGACTTTACCGGAGCGGAACCCGCAGCGCCATGGGGTGGCGTTCCTTGAAACTATGACGCGCGCCAGCCAATGGGAGCCTATCGTCCATCAAATCGCTGCCACAGACTACAGGATTCGCTTCATTGGGACAGGGGAATTCAGGTGCCGTTTGGCGCGCGGCTACAAAAGGTGATATCGCCGGTTCGCTCCATGGGAAAGTGAATGCTTTCGCAATAATAAATTAAGACGTGCTCTCCTGATGCAGTAGATACATTGGTTGATGGTAGTGCTGCCGGCTGACTCCACTGCTATTGAAGTATCGGAAGAAAGATACGTAGCTGATCATTTACTGATATAAAACAACAGAGCGTTATTGGCTGATTTTAGAGCAGCCATAATTACTCTAAGAACGCCAACCACTTCACAACGGTAGCCGCGAGCGAGAGTTCTATATTCGGTGCAGCCCGCCGGTTCAGCCCAAAGATGGAGAACAGCAACCTCAAGGTTTGTCTTCTGTTAGCGAAACCGGCAACGTGCCTTCTCCCTAGGTTTTCCCCGCCGAACCTGCTGAACTTCCCCGATGTGTGGAGAGGGCGCTACGGTCGAACAAATGGCACCGTTCTTCTGGCTTGCAAAATAGAAAGCTCTTCGGACTTTGTTTCCAGCTGCAAGGGAACTCTTAATCAACAGGAGGGTTCTGTGTGGGCACTGAACAATCAAAACTCAGAAAACCGACTATACTCTTTTCATGCGCTGAAGACGAGAAGCGTTTTCTATGTCATAAACCGTACCCTCACACTCAGTACCTCAAAGATGAAAGAAAGAAAAAGTTGAACTGCTTAATTCCTGACACGTTATCATATGTTCATGCCAGTAAAAGTCACGCCAATTACGCGGACAAGACTGAGAATAGATGTTACGTGTTTAGCTTAAGAGCTCTACCACCGTCTCTCACATCATGTGAAAGAGGGGTAAGCACGCAGGCAAAGACGCAGGCAAGCTGGTGAATGCTTGACATAACCTGAGACAGGAAAGGGAAAGGAAAACACAAAAAAGAGGGAAATGGTGCGTGTTGGCTCTCTTTTTAGTGTCTCCCTTTTTCTGCTCTGTCTCAGATTAAGTTATGTCAAGCTCTCTCGCCATTTTCTTCTCTTAGGTTGACAGGTTTCTACACAAGCTATACGCAGGTTCTTTGCAACATGCGCGATGAAAAGCGGTCCATCGAGACTTACCATATTAATCGCCGTGCAATGCCCGTATTCGTCACGCCTGTGTTGTCCGCTATCGATGGATGATTTAGGCTCAAGTTCATCAGTCATTTCTGCCTTGCCCAAGCGCAAGGACAAGCGCATACTGAAAAGTCAGGGTCTACTTAGCCAGTGTTTGGTGACAGGAACTTGAGACAGCTCAGTTAATGTCAAAGAGAAAAAAAAAAAAAAAAACTCAATATTTCTTTGATCAGATAAATTAAATTTATATGATTTAAATAAACTTTATTTGATTTAAATCATTCTAATTTAAATCACAGATAATACGGGGAAAATATTTGCTGTAAATTTAAAGTCTAATTAACAAGTTTTTACTGGTGTAATTAATACCTGCCCTACTAGATCGAAAACAACTTCATCTTTGTTTTGTGAGGTAAAAATCTTTATTTGATTTTTATTTCGCGTTCTGACTGTAGTGCAATAAAACAAAACTTCTATAGTTTTTTTTTTTTTTTTTTTTCAATACGACGTTATTCAGTTGACGAACAAGTGGACGGTACAAATCAAGCTCCGTTTTACTCAGCAGAGCTCTTATTTTTGGTCATGTCGAGCCTGATATAAATATTGCTTGCAGGGTAATTATTTGATTAAAGCAAAACAAAATTCTCATAAAAAGCATCATATGACAGACATACTGAAGCAACAAAAATATTTTCGGGATTATATTTGCGGGAAAGGTTTGATTTAAAATTTCATAGTAAACCTTCTCTGATTTAAATATCGACTTAAAGTATATTTACTTCTATTCTCCACTCATATCAATGCACACTGAAAGAGGCATTGTTCAACAATTCAACGTATTCCGTACTTTTTGTTTTATCTCGCAGCGGGTCTTCTTCGGTATAATATTTTCTCCTTCGTGTACCTGCTGTTGTTGCTGGCAAGTCCACTATTGTACGGCCCAGCTTCTACAAGATCTCGTGAGTCTTTGCACTTTTTGTTACTTAACAAGCAGAGGTAAAGAAATAGCTACAAACGATTTTATTAGACCTGAGAAAATTTTCTAGCTAGCAAACTAATATTTCTTTCGGCAATTAAGAAAATGGATGCCGCTTCGAAAATCAGCTTGGATTAGAAAATACCCGTCCCGAAAAGTTACCTGCTTACTTCGGTCAACATGATCACTGGCGACCTCAAAACGCAACAGTAAATTTTGAGAAAAAAAAAAAAGAAATGCGTGTAAGTAATGATTGATATTGTAATACCGAGTGCCGAGTTTTAATGACAGTGACGCGAGTATTACGAGAGCCGAACTTCAAAGAAATCGACATTATATCTGTCAAATGTATGAAGTAAAAACAAGAATCTGGTTGAACGCAATCGCATTTAAATACCAATATATAAGTCTTTAAAGAAAACACTAAAATACTGGAGGACTGACTTTGATGAGTTGAATGGCATCTCAGGGCAGGCCTTCTACTATATGAAACTGGTGGTTGCGGTCAGCTCATTCTTCTGCGTCTGTCAAGTGGTCTACCAAGCTGTGCTATTGTCTACAAAGACCTATGGAAGGCCTGCATTGGGAAGAAACACGTGAGTAACTCGAATTGTCTCATTGCCCTATCTTTCCTTTTTTACAGCGGAGCTGTTAAGGGCTAGGTTCCCGAGGATCGTGTCCGGTATGTCGACACAAACTTACCAGGACAGCTACCGCCATCTATAAGCGACGGTGGCAAGCACACAACCAGTATGGTTTCCACCGTCGCTCGTAGATGGCGGCAACCTTTCCAGCTGTAATAGAAAAATGGATAGTTGGGCGCGTTGGTGGGAATTCATCGTAGGAAACAGCGTGAAAAACAGACGACGACGAACAGGAAGCGCACATTGTATCGAGTACAGCTCCGCTGGTCTTCCTTCTTCACGAGAGGGGAAAGGCTGAACGTTTTCTTACTTTTTTTTTTTAATCTGTCGTGCGAAAGGTTTTGTAAAATCGTAGATCGTAGCTTTGCGTCCAGCTAAGGCTGTGACATTTAAAAACGCACTTATCGCAGATTCCTTGTGGCATTTTGACAGCATAGATGTGGGGTCTATAGTTACTGACAGCGTTAGAGGGGCAGGGTGTGTATTTCAAACGTCCGGCTTCCACAGCACGCAATGCCCACCTTCCGTCGTGCTTTGTCTGAGCGCGCGAACTCGAGGCACACGAGACGTCAAAGCGTCGTCGAAGGTTGGAAGCTCACGCTGGAGGCGGGACAAGTGAAGCTCTTCCTCACTCCTCGAAGACAGACTGCATTAAAAGTTCCCTGCGTGTTCGCGAGAAAAGGATACACCAAACAATGTGGCGAAGAGAAGGAATCTCTAGACACTGTCAGCGTACAGGTGCACTAAAAGCTCACTATTGCTTGCGTGAATAACGAATTAAAAAAAAGCAATGACCCGCTTTTATATTGAAACGCCTTGAGAGGTTCATTGCGTTATCAGCATTGTCTTAAAACTCTGGCCTTCGAATATGTTTGCATCTCCGAGGTGTAAGTTTTAGCATTGCGCATCATGATGACAATGTAAATGTTTATTTACACGAAAAGGGATACACTCAGGTTCTCCTGAATAGAGTCATAACATTGTGTTCCGGTGCTACGCAGGTGTCATATGCCGGAGCGATTAGTATCGCTGATCGGTCTCAACCGACTCGATGACCTCCACGTGCTCGAGGTTTTGCGACTCCTGGCGCTCGACTTTGCGGTGCTCTTCACCAGCGCAGCCACCCTGCTGGTATCCAACAGGCCAGGTGGGCAATCGTGTTGCTATACACCGTTGTGTGAAACACGTGGAGTGTTATGTATGGACGACTGCAAATTATGTCAATAAAATCCAATACAGAAATGCCTTACTGAAATTTTCAGACTTTAATAGATTAGATAAAACAAAATACAACAAAGAATTTTCAGGCATATGTAGCTCGCGCCCCTATTGTTTGGAAAAGAACAAAATATCGCTTATACATTTAAGATCTGAGCAATTACATTCTCTGCGCTCTAGCTCTGGTATACTTTATGATAGCAAAATGGTGTAGGTTTCTTTGTTACCCAACGACTGTGCTCTGTCATACCCACTCTGGAGCAGAGAGGAACCCGTCTGGGTGTCGGTAACAAGTTACCCCCGAAGGAGTGCACTCGACCAAGTATGAATGTTCCCGAAGTGCGTGTGCCGGTGGCAGGACACGAAAGGAGGACGAGACGGCCATTCACAAGGGCACACGGTCTCGTTTTGCATCAGGGTCGCGCCCCGACATTGTGTCGACCCACAGGCTATATGAGTTAGGCCTATAGATATGGATGCGGGAAACATGTGGTTTGCCAAAGCATGTAAACGATGTATGACAATTTCTTCTAATATTATCCTTCAACATTTCTTATGCTCGACTTCGCACGCGTTGTATAGAGTCTAAGGCCTTTTATTTTTTTTCGGCAGTGGTGGATGAGACGACTCGTCCCATTCCTCAACGTCGATGGCGAGTTCCTTCCGCCGTCATGGGCGACTTCTTGGTTCTACTTCTGATGGCCGGGGCGGGCGTGCTCCAAGCGTCGCTCTCGTCGCTCGTCTACTTCGCGGTCTTCCTGGGGACTGCCACGCGCCTCGGCATGCACCTGCCCCTGGCGAAAGGCTACCGACTGCTGCGTACCTGCTTGATGCTCTACAGCGCTGCCCACATTCTTGTGCTCTACGCTTACCAGTTGGATTACCTACAGGGACTCGTTCCTCCTTCGAGCCTCGAAGCCAGGTGAAAACATAATCTCCCTTTTACGCAGTATCGCGGCAGAGACCGTGGCAACGCAGAGTGGTTATGCAGCGCGCATTCTCGGCAGCGACGCTAAAAGATCGGGAGCTCGTTCGTTTAGAGCGTAGTGGGAGTAGAGCGAGCCACTGGCGTCGCCCTTTATGTTTAATCACGTGATGTGACCCGCCGGAGTAACTCGGCTCTACTCGAGCAAGACGTTGCCTCTAGGACACGAGCTCTATCTGAACGCTGGCGTACTACCTGCGTGACTGCCTTCCGTTTCAAAAATGCGAAACTGGAAACGGTTAGTGCTAGCCATTGGACTCCTTCTGTGTTAAAAATGGCTGTAGAAACCGCTATTGTTGGTTGCCTACGAATTGCGATATAGCATTCGTTATGTTTGCCTCCTTTTGTTACGAGGCCATGGACGACGTCAGTGACGATGTCTAAGGACTCCAGGCCGACGATATCAAGGACGACATCTAGGGCGACGTCCTAGAGGACGACGCCAAAAACGACGTCTAGGACGACCTCTAAGTCATCCTTACTCTTATTTCATTCTTCGACGATATGATGATGACGATCGATGGACATGGTGCCGATCGTGCACCATACAGTGATCTCATATTAAAATGCCGTTGCGTTGATTTATCGTCGATACGTTGTTGATTAATAAATGATTTGAAGGTCGCGATGAGTTTTTACATTAAATTTAGCGGGAAATTGAATTGGTACATTGGTCACGTGACGTCAATTTATCGGTACATTTAGCGGGGACCTGAATTTGTCTGTACGTCCCGGGACTTCAGGTGACGTGACCTAAATTGTCCCGCCAAATTTAGCGGGGAAACTGATCTAAGGCACAGGTCACGTGACGTCAATTTTCAGGTAAATTTAGCAGAAATTTAGCACAGGAGGCAAGGTAGCTCCATGAATTTGGGAGGAGGGGGAGAAGGGGGGGTGGGGTAGCTAAAGAAATCTATCGCATTAAAAGTGTTTGCCTGTTGAAAAAATGTACTTGGGCTAGGATGTATTGCATAATATAAAAATTAAAACAAACAAAAAAAATAGAAGAAAATGAAAAGGAAGTTTTGCGCGTTGTTTCTCCGCCGCGCGAAGTGGTTCTTACAAGATTTGATTGTCGGAGTAAGAAGCGGTGCTTTTGGCTTTTGAACTCTGAAGGTAACGCATACCTAATCTAAAATGCACCAACATATATCTTGATTCTCCACATAAAGAGGGGAATTAGTAATGCTCCGCTAGGAGCAAAACGAGCATGGAGCTGTAGACTCGACAAACGAAAAGTAGAAGCCGAAAGTTCGCGGAACGCGCGGACTGGACTTTGGTGACAAAGGCGCTGCGTCATCATCGCGAGTCGCGTTCCGTAAACTTCGTCGCGTTCCGTAAACTTCGGCCCCAACTTTGTGTTTGTGTTTGGAGAGCCTAAAGCCCCTGTAATTGTACGTTGTTTCTTCTCTACCTGCAGAATGTTCTTTTCTTTTTCTTTTTTTTTTCATCGACAGCTGTTTACCTTGTAGTTGCACAGTTACACGGACGCCGCATGCCTGTCTAAGCTGGCGCGAGAAAAGCACGGTGTCAAGGCTGGTTCACACACAGCCCCGTTTTTTTTTAAATCACGAAAACTTACGTGCAAGTCACCGTCTGGCATCTGTCTGGCACTTGACATTCGAGACACGAATGTTTCGGTAACTTATAAGAGTAGTTACCAGGCCTATGGGTAGGGGGCTCTGCCTTACCCGCCGCCCTTGGATGGCTTCAGTTTGGTTGGTTTCCGTTTCAGCGAGCTCGTCGCTGTGTTGGTGTGTTATCTCCTTTTCGCTTAATTTTGTGGTAGAGATATGTTAGTTGTAGCACACAACCAATGAAACAGCGGTACTCAGTCACTCTAAAGCTACGTAGTGATTTCGAGTAAAAACTAATAACTTTTTTTACAAACACCTTATTGTGAATCTGGTCACGTTCGTCGTTAATTTCGACATTTTTGTTAAAGTCATAGTTAAATATCAGATCGACAACCTGGATAAATAATGTGCTAAGTTGCAAAAAAAACACAAAAAAAGAAACATATGAACTTGCTGCTTTTTTTTTTCTTTCGCGGACACCAATTTTTTTAGACTTTAGCAGGCTTGAAACGACTCCCATATTGTGACGCAGATAATCTAAAAAGAAGTGATATTGCCTCGGCTTGTTTTCTTTAAAGTAATTAAGTACTCGAGAAATATTTCGGTAGTTCATTCTGGGCCGTGGAGGAAATCGGCCCTCCCATCCGCCAGAGTATTAACAGCATTTGACAAACCTCGCCAAGTAAGAAATAACTTATTTGTTATACCTACATTTGCTTACGGCGAGCTCAGGATATAAGTGTCAAGCCCGCAAAGTGAAGTATGACATTTATCTCTTATGAAAATTGACCAGTGAAGCTAAATGGCGCAAGACAAGTGACCGTCCAGAAGATGCCAGTCATTACTTCATGGACCTGTATAGAGAAATCTTTATTGTTTCTTTGTTTATAATCGATTGTTTGTAAATTTACAAAGACAGTCAGTCCAAATGTGCTTTGTAGAATTCGGCATCACCAACCGCTGAAAGTAAATCCCTACCTGCAATCGACAACAACATTGCACTAGAATAATTTCCATACAAACGACCTTTTTTTTTTGCGTTACAAGGGTTTTAGGCACTCTCAATTTGTCTGTGAGTCTTTTTTACTCGAAAGGTCCCTACTTTTGTGTTCAAATGAATTAATTTGATTAAATTTAGATATGCGAAGAAAATAATTCAAGCTCCTGAATGATTGTAGACATGTGACCGAGCAGTCTGTAGTTTTCTCTTTTTTTAATTTATAGATAAACCGATTTAGCTAATGTTTCTGTCGCAAAAATGACAAACATCTAACGCATTTAGGCGTAATATTATAAACAAACAAATCACCTGATGGTGAGGTTACCATCATTCCGAGCATCAGATAAAATGAAAGTGAAACATTCGTCGCGTATACCTTATATATACTATGTATAATCAAAAGCAACTGTTTTCAATTTCTTATAAAGGCAAAGCACGATGCTTCCAAGAAGAACACATAGTGGCTTCATGCGATGATTATTCCTGAGCCAACCTAAGTTGTCATAAAAAATTGGCCGTTGAACCCTCGTGCTGTCCTAGAGTCCCCTACATACTCAATCTGCATCAGTACTGACTCATGCGCCCCCTCCAATTTTCGCACACACATGTGTCCGGCCTGCCGGCGTGAAAATAGTCAAAACTTTTCGTAAAATTAACTGCAGAAGTTGAGACGTTTGTCTGTCCCCTTTTCTTCCTCCTTCACGAGTTTTCGTTTTTCAAACCACAGTCTCAGGTTTCAATCATCATGTATAACTTACACCAGCTCGCCTGCACCTTAACCATTTTTTCATGTACATAATATTAGAATGCAGTAAGGCAGAAAATATAAGCTTTAGATGACGCTTTATAGAGTAAGGCAACAGACGTGATGAGCAACAGGAATCTTCGCCAAGGTGTGGAGAAGAGAGCGGAGCGACGCGTTGAAGCCACCTTATGGCGGCCGCGTCGTGTGACTCCAAGATGGCAGCGCCCATGCGACGGAGAGTGAAAAGGTCTATAGACGCTTTGCAGCAGCTGTGCATGGTCGCCGCCATAACTGACATTCAGTTTTTGTTTCCTCTTATTTCGTTTATTTCACTTCATCATTTTCATAGCAGGCCAGGTTATTACCACATTAGATTCGACTGGGTCCTTTTCTAAAGCACCAGCCTTTGTAGAGGATCGTCAACTACCGTTTCAGTTGCTCGGCATCTCGGTAAGACAAGAGAAGGTCAGCAATGGCGGCTGTAATTTGGCGCGTGTGTAAAGCATCTATACGTAACGCACAAGAACACTGTTGTGTGAACCAGCCGACAACGTTAGCTGGAATCACCGAGAAACGATTAAGAGGTACAAGTAATCCCGTGTAAAGAAACGTTTTTTTGTCTTTTTTTAAAATTTATAGTGCGAGAAAAAGCATGTGAACAAAAGTGTGGCGTCATTGCTCTGCTTGGTCACCTATAAAATGCTTTGACTGGCACCCGCAATATAAGTGTCCACGTCCCTTCGACTAAAGTGTGTTATTCTTTCTGCCGTCTTTGTCCAAAAACCAACGCGTTCCCCAGTTTATGTGATCATAATAGCGTGCCTGAATATAGTCATGCCAGTGCCAAGCGCGAGTAGGCGGTAGCAATTGAAAAACTCAGAGGTGAGGTGTATCGAGCTGCTTCTAAAACCACACAAAAAAAAAGAAAATGTTCCGACTTCAGGGCAACATAGACGTCGCACCACATGCTTTTTAAGCTTCTCCTTTCAAAGTGGATACCGGTTCTCAGTTTGTTGTTTCAGCTTGCGCTTTCTAAGACTGTAAAAAAGTTAATGCAAAGAAATGAAAAGTATCTGACAATAAAACGCATCAAAAAATGCCTCTTAAAAAAACTGCAAGATTTGCAATTTAAAAAGAAAATTGATTTGACAAGAAAGCTTTGCACGTACTTTCTGCATGCGAGGTGGTCAAGGCGCTGCTAAACAAAGCAAGGCAAAAAATAGAAGCGTTTCTCAAGGAACGTAAGAATACATGAAAGCACGATGTCATCTTTTTAACCAATGCACTCTATACTCTTTTTCTTGTACCACTTCATGACTCCGTTGCTCTTCTTTTGCCGCCTGAACACATGTTTCCGCGTTTCCATTTTTTCCGACGGCCTCACCGACAGTTGCCTCCTGCCACTTGCAGGGAATAAGCATGCGAACGAAAATCATAAGCATTTAATTTTCTGACCAATGAAACACTTGTCAGTGGCATATGGACCTGAATGCGTCAATATAAGCGATATCGTATGCGCAGTTTCGTCCCTTTCATGCTGAAAATGCTTTATTTTTCCCGGATACATATTTCTTTAACTCCCTACACAAGTGACCGACACAGTAAAGATCTACATATTCGCTTCTCTTCATCAGACGTGAAGTAGTTAGAGCAAAGTGGGCTCGCTTTACAAGAAAATTAACATTTATGGCAGAAAGGCTCGGATTTCCGCTTGTGTTTCAGGGAGGTGTTGCAGAATAAATAAGTAAGTAAATAAATAAATGAATAGATAACGGTGCAAAGTTACTTCGTTTTTTCACTTTTCTATGTTAGAGCTTAACACAGCTAAAACAAAATCACCTTCCTCTCCTCACGTGAATAAGACAGTAACAAACAGTACAACAAGACAACTACATAAAAATCCAGCGGTCAAAAAGTCCCGCGATCAGCCCACAGAACCACTTCACGCTCGGCGTTGCTCTTGATAAGTGTTGCCAGATGAGTTGCTATCAGTGTTAGGGACAAAAGATCTCCATGTCCAATATATTCCGCATAAAAGAAGACAAAAATCGATATATATTTTTGACGTAGTCAGGAGGGGCTATTACTATAAAAAACACAATTGAAAAAAAAAAAAGTGTCGTTATTTGATTTTGGATATAATACTCCTCATCTTGAACACCCAGACTTCGAAACCAAAAGTAAACAACACGCACACAGTGGACAAGAAAAACACATAGTGGACGACACACACACACATTGAGAGCTGTGCGTGTGCTGTCCACTTTTTTGTTCCTAAGTCTCGGGTGTTCAAGATGTTGAAAGTTCACCGAGTCTTTTGCATATTTCCTGACATTCTTATAATACGCACTTCTTTTCATTTGGCCTCAACGAATGCCCCCAAAACGCGTATTCTTTTGTGCTTCAGGTTAATCGGATTGAGCCCTCTGCGCGTGGCTCCTTGCACCGGAGACGATTCTGCGCTTTCGGACTTCCGGCTCCTGGTGTTCAGGCGGCTTCACTGGACCCTCTACCTGAGCCCGCTGGCCGTGCTGGGCTTCTACTTTGTCGTAGCTACGGTGACGCGCTATCAGCTGCTACAGAAAACGGTGAATTGAACGAGTCACCTAACCGGAAAACCAACTAACATGAACGTTTCAACCAATAATATACGTAACGTTGTTTTTTCTTAAGCTTATACAGGTCTGCAAGTCTGGTCTCAGGGCGCCGCCATCTTTCTTTCTCAGTTGGGTGCGCTTGGGCGCGGCCATAATTTGATTACGACGTCTTAGCAACGGTTGCTAATCAGATTATGACGCGTCCAAGTGCACCCCAACCAAGCAAGATGGCGGCGCCCTGAAGCCGGACTTGCAAACGTGTTCCTCGAAAAATATAGATACTGTAGATTTTTAGTGTCATTTTTCATGGAACCTGTGCATGGAAGGGTGTTGGGTTCATTCTTTCCGGGCCGCATAGAATACGATGGCGCCATTGAAGCGTCGTAGCCGATATCATATGATATCAGTTGCTTAACGATTACTCGAATTTGTCTTCGCAGTCAAAGATTAGTACATAAAAACTATAAAATATCTGTAAATTTGAAGGAAGAACTTCAGAATTCATGCTACAAATACGTACTTGAAGAGAATATGGAATCTATAAATTAAATTTTGGGCTGAGATAAATGATTTTATATTGGCATATTACTGAACGCCTATCGTTCAGTGGACCAAAAGAAAGAAAGTAAAAAGCCTGTTTCTCGCTGGGGAAAGTAGAAAATATAGCGGATTATGTCTTGCCGGCTTTCCTTCGAAAGCTTTTCGCTTTTCCACTGTGATGCATCCGTGGCGCCCAAGCACGTCAGTGGAACCCAGCTTATGCATTGGACACGAGCAATGCGTCTCTCGGACGTATGCGCTCGTCAACAATCAATCCGTTGAAAATTTGGATTCGCGTTCGCGGTCCATGAGTGTTGTGAGGGCTCTTGCCATCACTTTCAAATTACAAGTTCCATGGTGTGCTTAAGAAGCAGCGCGGAAGCTCGGTGTCCGCATCCGGTGCCCGAGGGCCTCATGACCACGTGATTTCTCATTTCGACTTTGAGTTGAAAAAATAAAGCTAAGGAGGCGGAAGCGAAAAATCACCTCGTGGTCCCTTTTATTAGAGAGTTTCAGTAGATCGTTCCGATACCTCCGATATTCCCGATAACGATATGCGATAACGATACAATCCATGTTCAAAGGCGGCGGCGGAGAATCAGTTCTCGGAGTCGGAGTCGTCGGAACGATCTACTAAGACTCGATATTATTTGGACACGTACGTTGGCATAGAAACGTGACAACAGTGAAAGTAATAAAAGTACAAAGCCGGTTTGGTTAAAAAAGTGAAAGCCGTATACAACTCCCTGTAACACCGAATTAGAGCGCAGCTCTTGAGGAGGAGGAGGGAAGGGTACTGGGGGGGGGGGTGAAGTGACCTTGGGGGGTCACGTGACCTTGGGGGTCACGTGACGATGCCGATGATGTCATCAGTGACGATGACGATGCGGACTCCGATGACGTCATCAGCGATGATGACGATGACGATGCGGATGTCGGTGACGTCATCAGTGACGTCACTGATGACGTCATCCGTGATGATGACGATGACGATGCGGATGCCGGTGAGGTCATCAGTGACGTCACTGATGACGTCATCAGTGATGCTGACGATGCGGATGCCTGTGAGGTCATCAGTGACGTCACTGATGACGTCATCAGTGATGATGACGATGCGGATGCCGGTGACGTCATCAGTGACGATAACGTCATCGGAAAGGTCACGTGACCTCGGCGGGGGTCACGTGACCCAGGGGTGCTCACGTGACCTCGGGGGATGTCACGTGACCTCGGGGGGGGGGGGGTCACGTGACCTCGGGGGGTCACGTGACTTTGGGTGTCACGTGACCCTGGGGGTCACGTGACCCTGGGGAGTGGTCACGCGACCTCTGGGGGTCACGTGACCTTGGGATGACCTTGGGGGTCACGTGATCTTGGGATGATCTTGGGGGGTCGCGTGACCTTGGGGTGACCTTGGTTACGCCGACGCCGCTCAAGCCGGGAACGGGCCCCTAAGAGCTGCGCTCTAAAACGTCACGCTAAAAGCACTCAAAAGAAAGGAAAAAGGGGGGGGGGGGGGTGCAGCACAACACATACTTTTAGCGTATCGATCTCTCTGTCTTGCTTTCCATTTATGATTCCTTCATTTTCACCGACTTTTAAACTGAGTCGTCAGAATAGCTCAAGTCATTTTAGAGCGCAGCTCTTAGGGGCCCGTTCCCGGCTTGAGCGGCGTCGCCGTCGCCGTCGGCGTCGGCGTAACCAAGGTCACCCCAAGGTCACATGACCCCCAAGGTCATCCCAAGGTCACGTGACCCCCAAGGTCACCCCAAGGTCACGTGACCCCTCCCCAGAGGTCACGTGACCCCTCCCCAGGGTCACGTGACCCCCAAGTCACGTGACCCCCCGAGGTCACGTGACCCTCGCAGGTCACGTGACACCCCCGAGGTCACGTGACCCCCCAAAGTCACGTGACACCCCTCGAGGTCACGTGACCCCCCTGAGCTCACGTGACCCCCGAGGTCACGTGACCCACCCTGAGGTCACGTGACCACCCCCAGGATCACGTGACCCCCCCGCCGAGGTCACCTGACCTCCCAGATGACGTCATCGGCATCCGCATGGTCATCGTCATCATCACTGATGACGTCATCAGTGACGTCACTGATGACCTCACCGGCATCCACATCGTCATCGTCATCATAACTGATGACGTCACCAGTGACGTCACTGATGACGTCAACGGCATCCACATCGTCATTGTCATCATCACGGATGACGTCATCAGTGACGTCACTGATGACGTCACCGACATCCGCATCGTCATCGTCATCATCGCTGATGACGTCATCGGAGTCCGCATCGTCAACGTCACTGATGACGTCATCAGTGACGTCACTAATGACATCATCGGCATCGTCACGCGACCCCTCAAGGTCACGTGACCCCCCAGGTCACTTCACCCCCCCCCCCAGTACCCTTCCCTCCTCCTCCTCAAGAGCTGCGCTCTAATTCGGCGTTACAGGGAGTTGTAAACGGCTTTCACTTTTCTTTTAGATACCACCCAACCACTTTTTTTTATTTTGTACCAATTTCTGGGCTTAAAAATGTGCCCTGTTCATTCGATAACTTCGTACAACGATCATAATAGGACCATATCCTTGTTGGGAATGCTGTTCTATTACCCCTGCAAAAATGATCAATGAGTTTCAATTGAGTTTCTGATGTATTCCCAGAGTCAATTAAACCTCAACATAAACTCAACGTCCAGTGAGTTTGGTCATAAGAAATTCAATATCGATTCTATTGAATTTATACATTAGGATTGCAATTGGGTTTTGTCATGAAGAACTCAGTATATATTCTTGTGAATTTACTCATTAAGAATGCAATTGAGTTTGCTCATTTAGAATTCAATATTCAATCATTTGAATTGGCTTATTAAGGATGCAATTGTGTTTGCTTATTATAAACTCAATATATACTCATTTAAATTTACTCATTAGATATGCAAACGAGTTTTATCATCAAGAACTCAATGTCAATTATTTTGAACTTACTTATTCCATCTGCAAATGATTTTCATTATTAAGAGCTCAATATTGAATATTTTAAGTTTAATCATTACATATATAAATGAGTTTTGTCATTCATTATTTTGAGCTTATTCACTGGACATGCACTTGAGTTTTTCTACTTGACTGACAGTTCTTTGTCTCCTCATTCAAACAAGTTTTTGTCATTGAGTAGTTTACATCAGCTGGTTTGCGCCCTTTGCTGTTGAGGAACCCAGCAAGGGCACAGCTGCAAGTAACCATGAGTACAGTTATGACTCTAGGAAAATTCGCTCAGATTCATTAGTGCAAGAAATGAAATAAAAAACTCTTGACACCTTCGAGAGCTTAGCACGCATTATAATAACTCTAAGGTCACTGGCAAGGCGAGAACCACAGGGTTGGGTTTCACTTGTCTTCCCCCTTCAAGCTTGAGTCTCCCTTAAAAACGCTTCAACATCTCGAGCGCATCAAGCGCGCTCGTGCTGTCAAAACATGGTGGAAGGCATGTAGCGCGTGCCGAAGGCCGGGTGTTTTAAAGACACGCCATGCCATTTGCACTCTGTCAGTGATTATAGCGACTACATTAAGCCTGTTCTACTAGTCACTTCGTAAAGAAAAGAAGTAATAAAATATTTTAAAGCGAGGAACTACCGTGCCTCGTCTTCTGCGGGATGGTGCTATGCAGAGAAGCGATAACATACCTGCTACACTCTAGAAAAAAGCCCGTGCGTCTACTTTCCCGCACAACACTTGGAGAGCCAATCACCGTAACTTAGAGAGGCAACTCAGCAAATGACGATGCCGAAACATACGTTTAGACCAAAAAACGCAATCTGAGTTGTAACTTTAAGCAATGCAAGCGTGGCGTTTTGCATTGATTAATGTCGCAACTCAAGACTGCGTTTTTTAGTCTAAACATGTTTTGGCATCGTCATTCGCTGAGCTGCCTCCGTAAGTTGCGGTGATTGGCTCTCCGAGTGCTGTGCGGGAAACTAGACGCACGGGCTGTTTTTAGAGTGAGAAATCGCTTTTGTTGATTTAGCGACTGCACCGAACGATTATTGGTTGCACCAATGATTTTTTTTTATTAAGCGATAGTGTCCAATGATGTCGAAACATTGTTTATCATTTATCAGACTTCCGAGGTGGGAATACGATACTGATGACCTGAATAAAAACTGTGGTGGCAACCGGCCAAATGAATACTTTTCATATACTATAGTTAGGGTTCGGAGTTTTCGGTTTAAACCGATAAAAACCGATAAAAGTACGCCGAATTCATTTTTGGAAATTCGGTTTTAACCGAAAAAGGTCAGTTTTTGGGTTCGTCATTTTTTATTAAAACCGATAAAAGTACGTCGAATCAATTTTCTAAAATTCAGTTTTAACCGGAAAAGGTCACTTTGACCTTCCAGTCGTATACCGCAGAGCCGTGGCGAAAACGTGGAACGACAGTAAGGAGTTTTCGTAGATCGTTTTCGCCGTCCCGCAAGGCCCTCCGCAACCCGCTACGATAGGGGGAACTGCACAGTCAAGGCTGTCGACACGCAGGCGCAGTAGCAACTTCTTCGTTGCGGAACGCTTAGCGGAGGGGGCAACGCGGTCTACGAAAACTCCCTAGTGTCTATCGAAACGTGTCCGAATGTATGGGATACACGGATGCCATCTCGACGTTTTGGTTTAATGTGCGCATCACCGATCAGAACGTGAAGTCCGAAATGCCCCATAACTTCGCCATGTACGAGCGTGTTTTCGAACTCGTTGTAAGGAAGACTAACTTGATGCAAGCTCTGCATGCTGTGTTGAGGTTCACAAAATCGCACCGTCTCTCTTTTGGCGGTCACAACTGGTTGATTGGCCGAGTTTGGCTCAGGCAGTGCTTCCTCTCCTCAGCCTGCCAGTGTCAAGTATTAGTGTTGAGAGGGCATTCTCGAAGCTCAGGGCCATAACAACAGGAAAGAAAGAGTGCGGTTCAACGAGGAGGACCTGGGAACGTACATCTGGGTGTTAGAGTGACCACCTTCCTGCTAGCGAAATGCGGGACACAAAGCCCGCCCCCCCCCCCCCCCTTCCTTTCCACCCTTTGTCAGGAAATTTATTAACACAGTTCTATCTGTTCGGCTTTCAGGATGCCGTGGTAGAGGACATTTTTTAACATGCACACCACAAACCGAGGCTATGTGAACGGATTTAATATCCTGTGCTGCTTATACACCTGCTAATTGTATTCAATCAAGCAATAAGGTCACATAATTTTCACTCCCAGTGATATAAATTTTTATGCCAAATGTGTTTGTAAATGTGTCGAAGTTGAAAACATAAACATCGACTCTAGCAGAACTCAATGCATCAAATGGGAATAATAGTATACCTTTTTTGGGGTATTGTTTTCTGTCAGCGCTTACCTTTATCGTCATGGTCCTACACAAATTTTTGACATTATGTTCTTTTTCGACCGTCGTGAGTTGCAGGCTTTTTGCCTTGTGTGGCTGCCTTCACTAAAAAAAAAATCCGCAGTAACCCTTTCGCATTGAAACAACGATTTGAAAATAATTACCATATTTTATATTAACACTTTTAGTGAGCAATTTTTTTTTTACAATATTTTGTTACTAAGGGAGAGGCACAACGGAGCATGCGCGTCGGCTATCCTGCAAGAACGACAGTCGCTTCCCGCAATGCTTGGATAGAAAAATGGCGTACCATTGCGATTTACACGATTACCAGCGAGCTCCGCGCTTCCCCGTGCCCCGCTGTTCGGTAGCACCATGAGTTGCAGAGTGAATTTTACTACAGTGTGGAATGCGGGACATTTTGAAGATTTGAGATTTTTTTGCAGGACGCGGGACACGAGCCCTCATTGCGGGACGATCCCGCGAGTCGAGGGACGGGTGGTCACCCTACTGGGTGTACTTATAAGATAACGTAATCCTGATGTATAGAAGGTGAAGTTCTATGTTTTTCGGGCATAGGCTTCATATCTGACTTGTTCGTGCTTCTCAGGTTTTTCCTTGTTTCTTTTAAAGCTGCACACATTTGCCAAATAAAGTGTACATTTCTTTTTCAATGTACCTGTGCCGTTATTCTTTGAGTGATCACAAATATCAGAGCTACAAGGATCATCCGATCCGGTGTCCGTTGGTGTTTATTTTATTATTCACCGAAAAAAGCCGATAAACTTTTGTGCGCATAAATATACGCCGAAAAAAACCGAAAATTTAATTTTAAAATAAACACCGAAAAAAGTACGCCGAATTTCGAAAAAATAGAAACCGAAAACGCAGAACCCTAACTATAGTGTATATAAGGCACGTCAAGGCGAGTGCGAGTAGTGTGTTGTGAGTGTTATATGATTGTGTTCGTTTCCTTCATGGGCTTAGTTTCCTCCATGTTCCATGCTTTAAGGCAGTGGTTCTCAAATGGGGGTCCGCGAAAGCATTCTTGGGGTCCGCAAAGCCCTGCAAGAAAAGTTGTATTTTATCCAATTGAAAAGAAACGTTCCGATTTTTGGGTGAGTTTTCTCGTGTGTATGTTAACGAGAGAAGTGTACTTCACACCCAGCCCTTAGTTATATTCACTTATTAAATCATTATCATAATTGACCTATATAGCTTTCCCTTCCCCTCACCGTGAACTGGGTCCTCCATCATCTCCGCCGCTCCACAAGGGGTCCGCGAGACATTAATGGTTTGAGAACCACTGCTTTAAGGAATTATAAGATGAAAATTCCCAACAAGGTGCAGGATTTTTTAAATGCAGTTGCAAACAATTATATTGAATTAGCTGCAAAAATTCTATTGAAACTCAATTGCAAAAATTCCGTTGAAACACAAATGCAAACATTTTATTGAAATGTTATTGTCAAAAATTCTGTAGAAATCAATTGCTAAAAAATTTATTACGGTACAACTCGGTGGCCAATATCTGGTGGAGGTTCAGTAGTAGCTCATGAGAAAAAAACTATTGAGTTTCAGTCAAGACCCGACGCGGTGTATTGAGCGGATCCTTTACAATTTCAATTGAAACTCGCTTATTTTTTTAGTCAGGGTAATTACCATGGATGAGCGCTCAAGAAACCGTGACAAAAACAATTTAGAAAATTCGTCAAAGGGGTACGGAAACAAAATTCCAGCGCTCATTTTTAAACTTTAATGTGTTGCAAGTTGCAGCATAATCTCGAAGATACCAGTCTTTCGTTTAAAGGCAGAAGAAAACGAATTTTAAAGCTAATTAAACGATCTTTCAATGTGCACCTGGTGGATGCATGTGGAGCCTATTTGGGAGGTGATCTAGCAACGTTGGGGAACTTGCTACGTAGTCATGACGTAGCAAGATCCATCGGAGCAGCACCGGAATTCAACATTTTCCTTCAAAGCTTTCCTCAACTCACAAATCGCGCATTGTACCAAACCCTCGTTTGTGCACCCGGGAAACAGCCATTTTCCCCCTAGAAGATTAGCCGGTCGCTCAAAATTTGGACAAAAGTTACTTTCAAGTTTCCTCACGCTGACACCACCACAACGTTCGCTGACAACGCCACCAAGGACAAAGCTCATAACCACGCTACCCTTGCTACGTCACGAATGCGGGTAACCTTTTTTTCTGTTTTTGATTGCACCGGATATCCCATGACGTATCGCGCTCTCCGTTCGCTTCTCTTCGAGCGCAGTGGCGTATCAACTTGTTTTTGACTTAGGGGGGCAAACCAGACCCCCCACCCCAGGACCGGTGGGCGGTGCTCTTGGTATCCCTTGGGCGCCCCCGGCCAGTGTTTGCCCTGCCCAGTGGCGGCTGTTTACTCTGAGGACTGGGGGGGCAAGCGCCCTCCTTGCCCCCCCCGGTTGGTACGCCCATGTTCGAGCGCTTGCTCGAGTGCACCGTTTGGAACGAAAAATATAGCCAGTCGTTCAAAATACAGACGTGCGATTATCATTTACGATTATTATTCGTCGTGCTTGACTCATTTCCGAACGAAATTTAAATATTTCAATTTTTCTTTCCGTACCCCTTTAAGGGGTCGTGCAATTCCGAGAGAACGTGTCACACCGTAGAACTTCCTTTATTAATATAATGACAGCACATTGCATTTTCTTTTTCAGGGTCTTCAATTTCCGTCTTTAGGATCAGTGACATCCATGTTGCCCCACTGCACCAGGACTGACAGCAGGCGAGCCATGCGCAGGCTCTCCACCCTTCCGGACCGCCGACGCCTCCTCGACAACAATGTAGCGTGCCTTTATTGTTCGTAGATCCTTTCAGAAATTCAGTGCCATCAAGGGGCTTAAACATCAACCTGAATTCTTTCGCAACTCAGTGGCAATAGAGGTCTAGTACTTCATCGGGTGCTGTCGCTTTCGAGCGTCATCAGCAGACGAGCGTGCCGACTTGAAACTTGCCGCCGAATTCACAAATCTCACTCCACTTCTCAAGGAAGGCGGGAGGGCCGGCGCTGGCCAATCGCAAAGATGGAATTCGCATTCCGTTTCACATTAACACACTTTGTGATGCAAGTAGTCTAAACGTTTCTAAAAAAATACCCCAGCCTCCTGACCATCGACAGGATAATCACAAACGTTGCAAATTTCTACCGGTGTTCATTTAAACGGTTTGTGTAATGTTACGGTCGAACAGTTTTAACGGGCTCTGCAGCAGACCCTGATGCCTGCGCGTACGTAGCAGGGACAACCAACACCACCTAGACCACCTCCGTGTGACGGTTGCCACGTTGAAATATGACATATAGGGGACGACAAAATTGAAGTAAATAGTTTAAGCATAACTACAAATAAAAAATGTAGTCGAGAAAAAAAGCATAACTATTTGCACGAATATCGTGAACTCTAGCGCCTTCCAATCGGCATATATATAGAGAGCAGAAGTGTTGTAAGTTGTTTGAGTTTGTATGATGACACGGTGAACAGAACAGCGCACAAAAAGACAAGGGCAAAGAAAAGGAACATAAAAGAACAGAGAAAAAGAAAAGGAACAGCGCTCCTATGTTGTGCATGTTACTTTTCTCTGTCCTTGTCTCTTTGTGCGCTGTTCTGTTCACCATGGCATATATAGAATTTTTATATTTTCTTCCCCCCACTTCGGCAGCGTTAGAGTTCAACCAGCACGAGAAACGCCGGACGTGGCGTGTCTATCGCTTCAGAGTCCATTAGATTGCGGTGTTAGCCGATAAAGGTTCTACGTCAGCTACTGAGGAGGACCAGCGCTTGGCACGTAGTGGAAAAGAGTGCTACGTCAGCGTTTGGCTCGAACCCGCGTTCAATCAGTCGGAACCCGAATCTCAGCTGAACGCTGACACAGCGCATCGTGTCCAATATGGGACCCGCGTTGACTGTCACGTGGAAAAGTCAACACTACGGCTTCTGACTCCCTCTTATGGTTTCCGTTCGTGACGTCACGACCAGGATTTGCCTCGCCGTGACGTTATGGGTCGCAAATCTTGACCACCAGTGGCGTCACTTGGGTTAGCCGCACTAGCGGCGGTGGCCCGCCGCAACCCCCTGTCTAGAGGAGGGGGGAGGGGGGAGGACGAAGGGGCTGGAGCGGTCCCTTCCCCCTCCCCCCCTGCTCTAGTGACGCCACCGTCACTTATCATCAGCTGGGAACTACAAGTTCGGTGTGTAAAAATAACGCTGGAAACTTGGAATCGTCGCATTCTTTAACCAGCATCGTCGCGGTTGACACTCTGGCATTGCGCTGATTCCCGTCGATGAAATAAAAATGAATTCGTCTAAAGACGCCACAGTGAGCGTCTTGCCAGTTGCGAGTTGCGACCCCCGTCACGCTAATTCTTCGTTTCACATTCAAGGCCGACCAACGAGCAGAAAGGAGCAAAGTCTCTCTCAATGCCCCCTTTCCATTCGGGAAAGAGAGAGACCCTCCCCCTTTCTGCGGGGAGTAACTCACAGCGCTCGGAGACAACCAGAGACCCGCTCCTGTGAGGCGAGAAGGGAGGATGCAAGAGAGAAACAGAGAAGGAACCCGGGAACCGTCTTGTGTTGCTCAATGAAAGAAGTCCTGTTTCCGTCCCCGTCCTCGATGTTTTAAGGCCCGTTCACACGCTTACAACCGGGTACGACCGAGAGAGCAAGACCTGTTGAAACTTCTTAAGATTTCTTAGGACGAGAGGACACACTGGCACGGTGGCGCCATCTATGCGGTGACCCTGGAACTCCATTTCACAAGAGCGAAAATGTTGCGGGATTTCCGAAATCATATATGCGTAACACCTATGAGAAAGGCCCGTTTATAACGTTGACAAAAGATTTTCGAGCCGAGAAAGAAAGGATAATGTGCGAGGGGAATAGAAAATATGCGGGACCGCCAAGCTTACACTGCTACCCAATAGATGGCACTAGTGTTGCCTCTCGTCATAAGAGATATTAGAGGTTCCAAGGCACTCGGATCTAAGAGGTCGCAAGTGTGTGAACAGGCGTTTATCCTTTCAAGTAGTATTCGTATTTAGTCACCAGCACGCTCGTTTTCAATTATTGCGATGCTCGAGGTCGGCCTTTGCGTCCGACCGCAGCCACGACGGATGGAGACAACCTAGCCCTTTGTTGCATAGTGGCCACTACAGTGAACAAAGTTATTTAATTTTTAAATAAAGTGCCAGGCCGCGTAATACCGAATGGACAGCCGCATGTAAGAACTGTTTGCACTTCAAAAGTATAGAGGCAAAATCTACAATGTTCGTCCGTTGCAAAAAATAACGACCTATTAACAATAAATCTTAAACCGGTCATGAAAAAGTTAATTTTTTTGCTGCTTTCATGCTCGACCAGAGCTATGAGCAGTCCGACTACCTTGAATCAGATAGAAAAACAGATTATTGGAACTTTATCATTATGTATTCAATAATAAATAGAAATGATCTTCGCGCAAAGCATTTGTTTTTATATTCTTGTAAAGGACATCCGCCCAACACTTCACTTCCGCTATAGCTGTAGTACGGGAGCGACGGGAGCAGACGCCTTCACTTTTGGGGCGTTTTGGTGCAGTTTGTTGTCGTATGTCGTGTCGGTGTCGAGTGGGGCGGCGGGGCTTGGGAGTTTGTGACCGGTGTTATTCGTGATCACTGGTGTGGCGCTGATGCGTCTTTTTTTTTTTTTTTACACCGCCACCACCCCGAACTTCGAAGATTCACTGGCCCGTAGCACTGTATTATGCGACTATTTAAAAACGCAATGAAAATACATGGGTTGATTCTGTTTGCGAAAATAGTTGTGTTATTACAAAAAAGTGACATGATCCGGTGATGACGTTAGTGTTAAAGCGCTATAGTTATCTTCTGCATTGTTTCGGGGCACGATAATTGGTGTTGATTTGGTCCCGACAGTACAAAACGTTGTTTCACTGTAGCATCATACGACCTTTTCAACATAGAGAAACATGTTTTTTGTTACAAAACTAAGTATCATTGGAATCAATGTCCTAATTAAAGACGTTCTGCCGTCAGGAAGTGATGATATCTTAGAGAGCGAGGATGATTACATCGATTATGCCATAGAGGATGATCAAGGCAGGTGTGATGATAGCTTCGAAGACACCAGTCAAAGTGATGAAAGTGATGATGAGGATCGCGAGAACGAAAACCCAAGCTCCGTCTACAAGAAAAAGACGTCGAGTTCAAAAGGAAAAGCCAAAGTTATGGTCATGGGACGAAAGGGATCTGTACGCCCAGTGCATGCTGTCCACTGTAGTGGACGTTCTGTAATAAATAAACTACATTCCTGAAAGCTAAGACAAAAAAAAATACTGGGTTTCAGCTCAATACCAATGGTTGCGAAAACGCAAAATTTTATTATTTGCATGGAGAGTTTTAAAGTATGCAACAAAGGGCTAGAAGCGCAAAAAGTGCATCGTCACGACGCTCGCTGTCTTTGTGCGTCTGTAATCGTCGGCTAAACCACTTACTTCCAGTGAATGAGCCGTGATCCTGCGCTTTCCTTTTCTGTGCCTGATTGGTCTAGCTAGTGATAGAGTTGGCGACATGGTAAAAGTAAAACGGAAGCTCCCTCTTTCCCCTCTAGTGAGCGAACGCCGGAGAGAAAAGGTGACCTCTTATCCAGCTTTCGCTCTGCTAAGGGGCATGGAACAAGCCCGCTTCGCCCAGGTGCGGGCACCGCGCGTGCGCACAAACCAAATTCGGGAGGAGTGAAGCTCCTGTTCATGCGGAGTACCGACAGCAGCGCCACCTCAGTGGCGTGACGTCAGTGAGTCGAGTTGGTCTATAGCTGCCAAATAGCACACGCAGAAAGACGACGAGCTCCGGGACGACTTTTGGCGCTGCTCGATTCGCTCCGTCCCAACGTGACTTAGACTGCATGCATGCGGTTAACGTGAAATGTTTAAAACATAGGTGGTGTTGAGACAACTTGACGGCTCCTGTCGAGTTTCTCGGCTGGCTGTTTACGGCGGAAGCGCCTGAAAATGTAAGAACGTGGGGTGGGCAGAGTGTCGCGGTTCGAACAGTTTGTGTAGATCTTCAGGCTTCGGTTTTACTTCGTCACTGCTGAGTGTCGCAACGGCAATTGTTCGTCTTATAGTTTCCGCAGGGTGGTCATGGGAGTCGGGCTCTCACGAGCGGGCCGCCGAACAGCGCCGAAGGTTCGGGCCCTTCCGAAGTGGAAGTGACTGGCAGCAGCACGCGGCCGATGGCCGCCCCGAACACCAACGCCGCCACGTTGCCGGCTGGCGGTGCCCGCCACCTTACCTTCGTACTTATTCTGCAGGCAAGGTCTCGGGTATAGAGGCACTATACATGTTTATAAGTCCGGCCTCAGGGCGCCGCCATCTTGCTCAATTGGGGTGCGCTTGGACTCGTCATAATTAGATTAGGAACCCTGGCTAAGGCGTCTTAATCGGATTATGGCCGCGCCCAAGCGCACCCCAACTGAACAAGATGGTGGCGCCGTGAGGCCGGGCTTGCAAACATGTACAGAATAGACCCTTTTCCATCTTGAATGTCGTCACTTTCAGTAGGGGCGAAAACACAGTTTTGCACATAGAGCATAGTTGTAAACCCGAGACTGGGGATACGGACAAGGGACAAAACACAGAACGCAACGCCAATAGAATAGATATATGGGACCATTCTCGATTTGCCTCCCATATTTTTTTAAAACTATTTTGAGGATGAAATGCTTCATTATTTTTTCTTCACCCATACTGGATATGTCTACCAGGCGGCCGGGAACGGCAGATTAAACGAATGCAGTGCACGCGAAGGCAACGCAAGCGGCAGTTATGAATCCTAACAATCGCCAACGAGCGCCGCGTCAGCGGTCGGAGTGCACTCAGATCGAATCACGCGCTTTGTAAGCATTTGCGACTGCCATTGTTGTTCGACGGACTTTGAAAAGGGTCCATTGCGCCCGCTCTGCGCTAAGCACCAAAATGGCGGCGCCGACAAGAAAATCGGGGAACGGAGTGCCGATTCTCTCATGGAATACGTTTTCATTAGGGGTGTAAGAAATATTGACCGGTGTACTGGTAAACATGAATGGATTCATTATTTGTTAATCAACGCAACGAATCCCTCAAGCACTGTGATAGAATCACGATACTTGAAAGTTTCTAATGACAGTTTCAGTTTTTAGAGTGAGAGCGAAAAAGAGAAGAAATAAGCATTTGTCTCTCTACTTGTACCACCAGACTGTATAACAAGTTTAAACCAATTAAAATAGGCGAATAGGGCCAAAATACCGCCAATAGGTGATAATTTTATAAAGAAGCCAATTTGAAACAAAATAACAGGCGAGACAGCGAAATCTCAGATGGGAAACAGGCATTAAGGAAGATCAACGGGTTTTTACTTTATGTAATATTTTATATATATTTTTTTAAGAAGTTTCCCTGGATTGTTGTTTCCTCGTGTTGCTGACGACGCAGAGAGGAGCCAGCTGGGACGTGAGAAATAGCAACAATCGAAGGATAAGAGGATGAAGAAGTTGTTGGTACAATATTTGTTACGACCTAGAGTTTTAGGGGTGTTTAATTTAGTGAAATTTAGACTTTGTTATTAGCAGCAAATATTATGGTGCGGGGTTAAGGTTAAGAAGTGCATTATTGACCGTGTTGTAAAGGTTGGTTTAGTTTCACTTTCAAGAACTGCTGGTAGAATGTTTTAACAATAAAACTATGATGACTTTTTTTATGGTTTCTGGGAAAGTAAACAGATTATTTGTAGTGAACTAAAATGACAAAGGTTGTTTTGTTATATCTGGGATTAAGGGTCCCAATATATAGGAAATTAACAAGATGTGTGTTCATATTTACAGGATTTATATACACTAATGCCTTCGTTTCCTAAGCTATTTACCTAAAATTTCTAATTTCTAATGACAGACACTTTAGTGAAATGATTACATTAGGCTAATGCAGGCACAGTATATACAGACCCTTTTTCCCAAGGTACACCGAGCAACACTCGCGGCCGCCATATTTTGGGCGTCGCTTCGTGCGCCGAGCGTGTGATTGGACCTGCGAGTTCACACCTAGTGCTGTCGCAGCATTCGCGTCGAATAGATTTGTACCCGAGTACGCACCAAAAGCTGACGTAGTACTCGTGGAGTGCGTGTGCTCGAAGTGCGTGCCCTAAATATGGGGGCCTCGGCGGAGCTGCAGGCCCTGCAATTTTGCTCTAGATCAATCTGTACGTTAATATAATATTTCTAAGCAATTGGGAAGCAGATCCAACGTTGCACCCCCAGTGGCTAAATTGAGAACTACACCAATGGGGACAACAACATAGATTAATTGTTTGTGGCTCATGTGCAATCAGTGAAGCCGAACGCGGACGCAGCAAAAAATTGGGCACGAGTCATGGGCAATCTTTGCCTCGCACTCAATCTAGAAATAGGAGGCAAAGAATCCAGTGCATGTGCCTTGTGTTGTAAACGCGAAACTTTGGGGAAAACAAGCTGAACGTAGAGCCCCCTATAGTTCGATCTTCTTACCAATAGCTCTTATAATCTATGCTCAAGCGATCCTATGAAACGGTTTTGATGGTGTTCACGGAATGTTTTCTTCGCAAATGGTACCTTGATATTTATAAGTGTGGATTAGGGTTTCTCTCCACGCGCCTCCTGCAGTGATGAAAAAAAAAAAAAAAAAAAAAAACGCGAGAGAAAATTGAAACCGCGTTGGTCTTCCCAGTTCGCGCCTAGAACAAAGGCGAGTTGTTGGTCTCGTATCCTGGCGCCGGTCTATGCCGGAAACGTTCATAAAACCCACGCTCCTGGAGATTGCTTGTGTCTCATTCATGATCCGCATCGCGAGCTTACTGCGTCCGCAGGCCAGCAGAGCACGCCGTAAACTCAGTAACACTAGAGTAACGGTACATGCTCCGCTTTTCGGAGCAGAGTCCAGCAATGGTGTTTTCAGGGTGGCCACGTTGGATCCAAGGCCGCGCTGCGGGAAGCGACCGTCGCTTCTGCAAGAGCCCCGGATGCGCGAGCTACGCGATCGTCCTCCGTGTCGCTTTCTTCCCAGACTTTGAAAACTGTTTTAAAACATCGCTCGCGTTATAAACCAACGCGATTATACTGTATTCAGTGGCTACCCATAATGCTGAATAATCAAGGAACCTTCCAGTTAGTTCGTTTTTAGTGTAAGATGTATAATTCGCAAACGCCAAGCAGGCGTTTGTTTCGGGCGGCAAACGCCGCCCGAAACTCGGCGCCTGGCTTTCTTGCACGAAGTTCGGATCCAGATCGGTGTACATGACCGCTTCTCCGCCAATACGGAGTTGGCGGCAAAAGGAAAAGGAACGCGATGCTCTGGCTCTGCGAGCAGAGCCTATGCAGTTACTCTAGCACCTAAAAGCAATACACGTCAGGAACTTTGTTCTGGAACTAAGCGACCACACGCTAGAGAAGAGAGCCACTGCTAGGTGCAACATGTAACTAGACATTGTTTACGACACTGATGCAGGGATGCCGTCTGCTGACGAGGGGCAGTTATATGCTGACCCTGATAGTCATGATGGCCTGGAGCATCACCTACCATTCGTGGCTCACGTTCGTGCTGCTCATCTGGTCCTGCGTGCTCTGGATGATGCCCAGGTTAGATACGGTTCTTACCTCCTGGGTGTTCATTTTCCTCTGATAAGCGTATGCGGAGGGCAAGTTCTTGCGCATGGGGTAGCGGTGACATCAGAACGCCGAGCCCTGATTGGCTGATCGCGACCCCCTATCTGAGCGTCGTCTGCTCCTTTGCATGTCGTCTGCTCGTAACGTCGTCTGCGTCTGTCTTACCTTTCCTGCGACTTTCGGAAGTGCAGGTCTTTACGAGCGAGCTCGACTTCGCCTTTCAGAGAGGGCAGACGAAATAACTCGAGCGGTACGTTGCTTTTGCCTAACAACTAGCAAACGCGCATCAAGGAGAGAAGTCAAAGGACTCACTGGCGAAATGTCCCCAGGCGCCGAGGTTTGTTTCCTAAGAACCAAGAGTGAGGGTGGTTAGTGTCCTCAAGTTCCCTCCCAAATACTTTTTCCCACCGTTCATGTGCGGCGAGACTCCTCACTCTTTAACGGCGTCGGCGGGTTGGCGCGGTTGGCGCAGTTAACGTCGTCTGCTTTACGCCTGCTAGTCAAAGCGATGGCTGCTTTACCTTTTTTGCATCTGTCGGAGATTCACCGCTTTTTCACCGGCGAGAACGCGGCCTTCGAAAAAGGCGAAAGGAAATATTTTGAAGGATACGCCCTTTCTTTTGAGGTGAAGGATTTCACTCTAGTTGCGAATGTCGAGGCGTCGTTTAAGAATTGTAGCTACGCGGTAAAGACGACGCTCTCCGATAAAGGTAACATTTTAGAGAGTCACTGTGAGTGCCCTCGCGGGGCCGCAAAGTGCAGCCACAGGGTGGCTACCGCACTTTACGCGGCTCTAAATGGACTGTCCAATACGGACCTTCCACAGCAGTGGCTGCAACGCCCCAAGAGCAGCATGCCGCGGCAGGTCGCTCGCTCAGGTAAGAAGCAAACACCATGTTCATCGCTATGTTAAAACGTCTAGCTGCACAAGTTTCGTGAATGGTACCTCGCGTTTAATGAGTTATTCAAAGATAATCAGCTAAAGACGGATGACAGCCGATGTAGTGACTGTAAATAAACAATTGCGGCTGTGCGATCGGTACTGTGAGCACATCATAGCCCAAAAGTGCTCGATCGCTGCTTGTTGTCACAACCTTCTCGCTCGAATAAAAGGCTGTTGTCAGTTAGCGTATTGGGGTATGTATACTTGTGGCGTAAACCCAAGTGGCAAAAGTTTGAAAACCTGTGCTAATCTGTGGTAGAGAATCCGAGCAAGATCGATCGAGCTACCCGAGCGCCGTCGAACGTATCGCGGAAGTTATGTCGTAGACTCGTTGACACCAAGAAGTAATTATTGTTGTAATGCAATTGAAGGCAAAGGTGCAAGCGAGCTGTACAAGATTGACAAAAATAATCCCGGGGAAGGGGAACGAGAGGGACAAAGGACAAACACAAATCTTTTTCGAAGGCCGCGTTCTCGCCTGTGAAAAAGCGGTGAATCTCCGACAGACGCAGGAAAGGTAAAGCAGCCATCGCTTTGACTAGCAGACGTAAAGCAGACGACGTTAACTGCACCAACCCGCCGAGGAGTCTCGCCGCACACGAAAGGAGGGAAAAACTTTTTGGGAGGGCACTTGCGGACACTAACCACCCTCACTCTCGGTTCTTAGCAAACAAACCTCGGCGCCTCGGGACACCTCGCCGGTGAGTCCTTTGAC